CAGTTACACTGTAATCCTTCATAACATAAAGGCTGCCAACTCAGTTACACTGTAATCCTTCATAACATAAAGGCTGCCAACTCAGTTACACTGTAATCCTTCATAACATAAAGGCTGCCAACTCAGTTACACTGTAATCCTTCATAACATAAAGGCTGCCAACTCAGTTACACTGTAATCCTTCATAACATAAAGGCTGCCAACTCAGTTACACTGTAATCCTTCATAACATAAAGGCTGCCAACTCAGTTACACTGTAATCCTTCATAACATAAAGGCTGCCAACTCAGTTACACTGTAATCCTTCATAACATAAAGGCTGCCAACTCAGTTACACTGTAATCCTCTAAACCAAAGTATATTTCTCTGTAAAGATCTTCAAAACAGTTTTGCAAGAATAGCCAGTCCTGAATCCCTCCACCCAACCACACACACACACAGTCCACACACACACATAGAAACACACATACATAGACACACACACACACACACACAGAGTCCACACACACACAATCCACACACACATACATAGACACACACAAACACAGTCCACACACACACATAGACACACACACACACACAGACAGAGACATACAGACAGACACATACAGACAGATACACACACACACACACAATATACACACTTATGTAATTTCTATCTAAACCAAATCATTCTCTATAAATTACAGTATCAATCACATGTATTATGATAGTGTCCTATTATAAGGAGACTAAAAATAAAATAAAATAACTTTTACAGTATAGGTCAGACAAAACTATTTTGACGCAACAAATATGTTTTGAATTGCCAGTACAGTAGCAGTAGGTCTAACATTCATTTTTATGCACGTGTGGTAATGTAGAAACCTTGGACAAACTTGACACACAAGTAAACAGTAACATAATGATTTACCTGTAGGCCAGTGACATACACTCAAATAACCGGGTCAGCGTTGGGTCGATGCTGAGGCTCCCAGAACTAAGCGGACCGAATCTGTACGTCTGACACCAAGTCCTGTTCACCGTATCGAAATCATATCCCACGGTGGCTCCGCTTTTCCGTCTCCGCGGGGTTCTGTCGCTGTGGGGGGAGGACACCATGAAGTGTCCGCTATGGATGACCTGCGCGCGGAGAACAGAGCCAGCAACAGCCGGTCCGGTCCCGATGGTCGTGGCATGATCTTCTTCTTGGTCCGAATCTGATTCCAAGTCGTTGAACTGGTTCCGCTGCTTGCCTTGTCCTTGTCCCTGAGACAATTCTGGCGATATTCTTTCTGCCATTGCCATTCCAGTATAGAACTCAACTTGATCCGCGCTGCAATGAACTTGGGTCCAATTCTTATTTGGCCAGTCACTGCGGCATTTGAATAAGCGCGACACGTGCTGAAGTTGACAGATTGAAAGACCGGGACCGCGTGGGCTACGTCAATCAGAAGCAGTCTAGCCTAGTGGCTTTGCACCATCAATGTTTGTCCAATGTCCGGGAATTCCGATTAAGCCCCTTAAGGCCTTAGCAGCTAGGCTACCTGGTGTGTGGCCACAGGTTCAGATGGGTTGTCAGTTCTGGACATGCTCCTACCTATGTTAAGGAAGCTGATGAACCATAAAAGTAGGCTTCTGCATGGAATGCTTTATTACAAAGGTGCATTTTTATGGTGAAAAAGGTGGCCACTCTTTCTCACAACACCTTTATCTCAAATAGTGGATGATAAATTCACTAGGCTATGTTATGACGTAAGAGGAGACCTATGTCCCAGACCAGCCAATAGGACTTGGCCGATGGTTTCAAGTTTGGGGAAGCACATTTTCACCATAAAAATGCACCTTTGTAATAAAGCATTCCATGCATCCGTTGCGTGTAAGATAGCCTACTATTCTTTATGTGATTATTAAAATCGATAGTCATCATTTAGGCTAATAATACAACTCAATTACTGTTCCAAAAAATTGGCTACTGTTCAATGCAGCGCATAGGGAGTAGGCCTAGGCTATAGGCTATCAGATACATTTCTTCTCCTTTCTTTGCACAGGAAAATGTTGGCCTTTTTAAAAATCATATTTCATGCAATTCTACTACACTTTATATGACTGGAGACATTAGCAGAATCTTTTTAATATGACAAAAATTACAGGGTAGCCTAGTCTGCTGACGCTGATCCATATAATAGGCCTACTAAACGGGGAGACAATATGACATCCATCTAACCTGGAGGAGGAAATTATTGTCCAAAAACAAAACAAAAGTGTCACTGACCCAATGATAAGGACTGAATATAAACACTCACCGGGGATATGGCCGATGTCCTCCTCTGGTGCCAACTAACCGGTGCCCCCGCACATTGACTCTGTACGGGTACCCCCTTTTCTCTCCAAAACTCTTGAGCGTGCCGTCTCTAGCCAACTCTCCTGCTATTTCTCTCAGAATTACCTTCTTGATCCTAACCAGTCAGGTTTCAAGACTGGTCATTCAACTGAGACTGCTCTTCTCTGTGTCATGGAGGCTCTCCGCACTGCCAAAGCTAACTCTCTCTCCTCTGCTCTTATCCTTCTAGACCTATCTGCTGCCTTTGATACTGTGAACCATCAGATCCTCCTCTCCACCCTCTCCCCGAGTTGGGCATCTCCGGCGCTGCTCACTCTTGGAATGCGTCCTACCTGACAGGTCGCTCCTACCAGGTGGTGTGGCGAGAATCTGTCTCCGCACCACGTGCTCTCACCACTGGTGTCCCCCGGGGCTCAGTTCTAGGACCTCTCCTATTCTCTCTATACACCAAGTAACTTGTCTCTGTCATATCTTCACATGGTCTCTCCTATCATTGCTATGCAGACGACGCACAATTAATTTTCTCCTTTCCCCCTTCTGATAACCAGGTGGCGAATCGCATCTCTGCATGTCTGGCAGACATATCAGTGTGGATGTCGGATCACCACCTCAAGCTGAACCTCGGCAAGACAGAGCTGCTCTTCCTCCCGGGGAAGGACTGCCCGCTCCATGATCTCGCCATCACGGTTGACAACTCCATTGTGTCCTCCTCCCAGAGTGCAAAGAACCTTGGCGTGACCCTGGACAACACCCTGTCGTTCTCTGCTAACATCAAAGCGGTGACCCGATCCTGCAGGTTCATGCTCTACAACATTCGCAGAGTACGACCCTACCTTACACAGAAAGCGGCACAGGTCCTAATCCAGGCACTTGTCATCTCCCGTCTGGATTACTGCAACTCGCTGTTGGCTGGGCTCCCTGCCTGTGCCATTAAACCCCTGCAACTTATCCAGAACGCTGCAGCCCGTCTGGTGTTCAACCTTCCCAAGTTCTCTCATGTCACTCCGCTCCTCCGCACACTCCACTGGCTTCCAGTTGAGGCTCGCATCTACTACAAGACCATGGTGCTTGCCTACGGAGCTGTGAGGGGAACGGCACCTCCTTACCTTCAGGCTCTGATCAGACCCTACACCCAAACGAGGGCACTACGTTCATCCACCTCTGGCCTGCTAGCCCCCCTACCTCTACGGAAGCACAGTTCCCGCTCAGCCCAGTCAAAGCTATTCGCTGCTCTGGCACCCCAATGGTGGAACAAGCTCCCCCACGACGCCAGGACAGCGGAGTCACTGACCACCTTCCAGGGACACTTGAAACCCTACCTCTTTAAGGAATACCTGGAATAGTATAATAGTAATCCTTCTACCCCCCCTTTACTACCACTGTCTTTTGTCTAAACTAACACCTGACTTAATTCACCTGCTAGCACTGACTTGTTTAAAGAAATGTACTTATTGTGATCGAGATGTAGTTGTCCCTGATTGCACTGACTTTGCTCACAGCTGCTTGTTTGAAGAAGTGTACTTACTGTGATCAAGATGTGGTTGTCCCACTGGCTATCCTAAGTTGAATGCACCAATTTGTAAGTCGCTCTGGATAAGAGCGTCTGCTAAATGACTTAAATGTAAATGTAAATGTATATAGCCTCCCTACTGTTATTTTATTTTACTGCTGCTCTTTAATATTTTTTTTATATCTATTTTTTTCTTAACACTTTTTTTCTTAAAACTGCATTGTTGGTTAAGGTCTTGTAAGTAAGCATTTCACTGTAAGGTCTACACCTGCTGTATTCGGCACATGTGGCAAATAACATTTGATTTGATGGCTACTGTTCGCTCATTGAAATTGAGAATTTCGTTACTAAAAGACAGAATGGAGTCTTTTCATTGTCTTCTCTTTACAGCAATAGCCATTTGCTTTCCAAATTGTTTTTCCGCGATTGTATTTTTAAATAGTGCGATATGCCAGGCTGGGTCTCTGCTTTTCACTGACAGTCGCAACTCAACAATCATCTACTTGGTATTTGCTGTGCAAGCTTCCCAAATTGCGGGCCCTTCCGACTGTAGGCTATGCGATTTAAAACAATCCACACTTTTTTTTTTTTTACGCTAATGATCCTCTGTGGCCAAATCATGCTTTCTGTTGCAGTAGCCTATTTTAATGATTTAATTTATGTATAGACTGGAGTAACCTAATTAGGCTGTATAATTTTGGTAATTTAATTCAATTTCCTTTAAGGAAAGCTTCCCCTAGCCTTGTGGACGCGCTGCATATGCCTAGAAGTGATAGCAGCTATCAATACTAGAAAAGCACATATTCCACCACTTCTCCTACCGTGTCCATGTGAAGTACCTATGGACATTTTGTCTTTTGGTGAAAAAAAGTATATGCCTACATATGTATACTGTGACAGCAATAACGTGCAAATGGACAATACATATATATTTTCTGTCTTAGTCTATCTCTGCGGAGAATTTACATTTTATTTGAATGATCAACAATGAATAATTGGGAATTATTTAAAAATGAAGATATCGTTTCAATGTATTAAAAGAGTTGCTAATATTTTTTTCCAAACAGGCTGTTAATATCAGAGAGGAAGAGGTGCATGTTGGCAGTGAACCACTCCATTGACTACATATCCCATGTGATTTCAGGCTTCGTAACAACTTCCGGGCCACGAGGATTGTCGAAAAGGTTAAAAGTCGCGCAAAATGCGCATAAACATAACTATTTCGTTTGTTGTTGTCAACTTGTAGCTAGCCAGATTATTATTTTTTTATACACTTACTTGCGATACATCCTCAAAGCTACTGATATCATGGATGAGTTACACAGACATCGTTCTCTTTACAAGGGGACGACTCCACCATGGAAGGAAACCTACAGAAAGGTAGCTATGGAATCTATCAATACCTGGATTGTGGCTTGCTAACAAGCTAATCACTGCTAGTTAATGGTGGCTTGCTAACAAGCTAACCACTGCTAGTTGATATACTCGAGGCCAAACATTGGAACATTTAGACTGAACATCTTTATCTGAATCATCTAGCTGAAACCAGAATTGGATTCATGCTCTAGACATGAAGACTTGCGTGGCTCCCCGAGTTAATGCCAAGGCTTTGGCTTATGAAGTGTAACTTGTTTTTGATGGTTATATTAACTTTGTTTTTGTTCCTCAGCGTTGCGTGGACAGGTTGAAGAACAGCCGATCCCGGTTACTGGAGAAGTACCGACAGATGGGAGATAGTCAACACTGCAGCGCCAAGGGCTCTGTCCTCGTCCAGGAGGTGATGGAGGAAGAGTGGAAAGCGCTTCAGTCAGCCAACCGAGGGCTGCCCTCCCTGTGGAGTAAAGACTGCATGGAAGAGGTGAGGGGTTTGTCAGTTGCATACTAATGACTGTTCATGAGAGGTAAGCATGTAGCTAACATGACACAGGCATACAACTAATCTACAGCTAAGCTTACATGAGTCATGTAACATGATATTACACGAAGCAGAGATGTATTGATTCTAGCTAGCTACTTATATCTTACCTCATGTCTTCTCTACAGGTGTACAGTGTCATGAAGGAATATGATGAACTGGCAGTGTTTGAAGAAATCCAACAGGAACTCATGTCTCAAGGTAGTTTTTAATTCCTAAATTAATCTTGTATGAATCTATTAGTACACACAGACGCAGCTACACACAAGCAGACAGAAAATCTCTGAATAACGTGCATCTTGTTCTCTCTGAATAACGTGCATCTTGTTCTCTCTGAATAACGTGCATCTTGTTCTCTCTGAATAACGTGCATCTTGTTCTCTCTGAATAACGTGCATCTTGTTCTCTCTGAATAACATGCATCATGTTCTCTCTGAATAACATGCATATTTTTCTCTCTACAGAGCACTCCATCATTGAGGAATATGAGAAAAGCATGCGGTTTGAGGAGCAGTACTTGAATTCAGTTGTGGAAGGGATGGAAGGGGGGAGGCAAATCATATGTCCTGTATGTCATGTGTAAGTCTCTCCAAGATGTGCTATTGCACTTGTTCAAATTTTGTCATAGTCAAGACTCTAAAACCACTCTTGACTATGTGACTGTCTGTTTTCATTTCAGACACAACCTAACCGTGAACAGCCATTTCACCTCCTGTCCCTGTGGGCTTTACATCAACACAAGGGTTTGTATGATCTCGCATACACCATTCAAATTGACCAACCCAATATGCCATTTTTTTTGGGGGTTGGATTATCTGTTGTCATGACCACTCTGATGTTCCTCATGATCATGTTAAGTAAGCCACTTTCTAGTGAGTTTATGTACTACACTTATGGCTGATTTTGATGTCTCATCAGTGTCTGTTCATCTCTCGTCTCCAGCAAAGCAACGTGACCCTAGAGTCTCTGCAGTGTCTGTTGGAGAGGCGGGTAACCGAACACATGGAGGACTGTCTTCATAACCCCGTCTTCTCCGTGGCCTCCGGTGCAGATAGCCCGCCTAACCTCATGATAAGCTGCAAGGTGACTGACTGGCTTGAATACGTCCCAAACAGCAATCTATTCCCTAATATAGTGCACTACTTTTGACCAGAGCCCTATGGACTCTGGTCAAAAGTCGTGTACAATAAAGGGAACAGTGCCATTTGGGACGTAGGCCGACGTTATCATACTTAAATAATCCTCGTTTGGGAGGTCAGGCCATAATGCAACACTTACATAGTGTCAGTACTGATCTCTTTACACCTACTGTCCTTGGTGACAATGTTGTGGTGCCTCACTTACGTTAAACATTCCTAATGTATTCATCTGATAAGTCATGTTTTGATTTAAGGGGTCCTGCACAAGAATTGTTATGGATTTATATTGTTAATTTTAGGCGTCAAAGCAATTACCCTTGAATAGTTACGTGTAGACTATCATATCGTTGAATGCGGAGTACAGTGACAGATCACTGAATGGATCTTCTTTCTGATTTCAGGCTTGTGACTACCTGTCCATAGTTCTGTGACTCACCTGTCCTACCAGGTGAAAAGTCTGATTTTAATCGTCCTGTGTCCGTGGGAGGATTTTTGTTCTCTGAAATAAACTTGTGTATTTGTACAGCAAGATTTGGCTGTTTTTTTTTTTTAGTTTGAATGGTATTCAGAGCATGTCTGAAAGACTGATCTTATGTTACGAGGGCACAATCATGCGCAAAAAAGTACTTGCTTATGGCAGCACAATGCGCTGGTTGATGGCATGCCAAAGCTCTCTGTTCATGACAGCTGATGGTTCCTCTGAGACCAGTGTCTCAGATGTTTCCCTGTGGTCTTTCTGGAGGCCTTCGTCCCTGAAAGGGTACGCATAGACCGCTACAACCAGCTCACGATGCCTGAAACTACGACCAGGAAAAAGTACAAGTGAAATCAAGTCCGTCGATTATGATCACTGGCTTAATTTCTGTTCTCTACACGGTTGGCCTCATGTCATGAGGGAAATGTACAAACTAGTTACTTGCTCCTTTTTATTACAAAAAGATGTCGGAAATAAAATCATGCCTAACCACACTTGTCATTGATACTAACTTGTGTGGCGAAACATTTAAAGATTCTTCCATAACGTTGACAAGTGACACAGACAGCCTTCATATTAACTTAATTTTCTGTTAAATACAGACTCATTTGCAAGTTGCACCATTTAACATTTGCAGCAAAGTAGTTCAATATTAAATTGTTCAAAGTGGCAGAAACATCAAATACAACACCCCAAAATTAAATATTTTTCCATTTGTTTCCATTTCTTTGTATTTTCAATCTAGAGGGGGATTGTGTCTTACTGAAATTAGAAATCTAACTTTGATGAATGTTATTCCATCTATACATTAATTGCATTTGACAAAGCCACTAAGGTCCTCCAGGAACTTGATGTATTCGTGATGCTCCATGGCAGTGCTCAGCTCCGTCAGTTCATCAGCAAACGTGTTGTCAACCCCGCGGTCAGCCAGGAAGTCCATCAGGTGGTCATACAGGGCCTGAAGTGAGAGGACAGGCCAGTGAGATTACTTCATTCACAACGCACGCCTTGGCCAGTTTAAATAGTACAGGGTTTGAAGCACCTGAATCCGGAAAACCTATAAGCCTTCGGCCCAAACTGAAAGTAGAGCAGCCTCCCTAAAACATGTAAAGTAATCGTAGATGAATAATGGTAGCCTGGGTACCAGTGTGATTCTACCCTCTTGCCAACTCCTTATGGAATTTTCATGCCAATGTTTAGCTTGACAATGGAGTAGGCAATAGTTTACGGACTAGAATAATGAAGTATCTGTAATGATATGTAGACATGCTGAGAGGCAGACCATGAGCATCAGCTCTTACCCAGTCCAGAGAGTCTGTGTCGAGTGTGTAAGCAGTCTCCTTCCACTCTCCTTCTCCCTCAGGCTGGAAACTGACCTCACGTATAGCAAAGATATCGCTCTCCTCTTCCCCATGGCTTGCCTAGAAAATACATGTAACCCAACATTGTTAGAGATGTATTGCTTATTAACAACATGTGGTAAACAATCAAAGCAATATAGCATGCTTCCCAATAACTGTACTATGTTGATAAAGTTGTCTTCTATTAATGTAATGTTTCTGGACCATATAGCCAATGATGATTCACTTGTAGGATAACTTACCTCATCTTCAGGATAATGGCAGTCAAACACCAAGGAATGTTTTGCTGCCTGTTTCGTCACCTCGACAACAAAGTTGGGTGTTGACACAATATCTGGCTGTTAGGAAACAACACAAATGGTTCAAGGACTTAACATTGTAACAACTGGGTGGAAATTCATATAGCGATAAATGTAACTATTTTGCCCGATAACGATAAAAAAAAAGTTAATGGACAGTTACTTTACATTAGCGGGAGGGTTGTAGACCATTTTTCCCCCCAGTGCCAAGTAAGAACTGAGATGGTAGCCATTAGCTATGTTTCCATTAACTAGTCCACTGATGTCGACATTTAGAAAGTTCATATAGAAGTGCGTTTCCATTTAATGATTGTGTCGATAAAAACAGCTGGATATAAATTAATAAAACATTCTGCAAAAACCTACAGTGTTTAATAAACATTTTGTGGTTGAAGTGTTTCCATTACCCATTTAGGCAAATTGTGCATTAAAGCTGCAATATGTAACTTTTTGGGCGGCCTGATCAAATTCCCATAGAAATGTGAGTTATAGATCTGTCATTGAATGCAAGTCTAAGAAGCGGTAGATCTGTTCTAAGTGAGCCGTTCCTAAGTTTAGTTTTTGCGTCTTTTACTTTCGGTTTTGTAAACCAACTTCAAAGAGCTGAAAATACAATATTTGGGGTTATTGAAAATATATTTCACAGCGGTTTAGATGGTACAATAATTATCTACACTATGCATTGCTTGTTTTGTCACAAACTGAAATTAAGCGAAATATCAGAATTTTTGCAACCAGGAAATGGCACAGCAATTTCTGCATATTGCACCTTTAATAAATTGGCAACAGCCAGTATGCCCTCCCACCTATCATGTCTCAGGTAGGCCATGAATGCAAGCATGGATAGAATGCAATAATTGACTAATATTTGCCATATTCGAATAATTCTCATGTGCCAACGTATCGCCACGATCCATGCCATGGTGAAACCTGTACTCCTGTAAATCTGAAATAATTAGACGGTGAAACTTCCCAGCCAACCAGAAATGTAAGGCGAAGCAATTCAGCCATTTTTGAAAGTCCGCACAATCCCTGTCCTTCAAAGAAACTGCATTTTTTGTTGAAAGAATCGATTTTGCAAGCAGTAGGCATTTAGAATTAAATGTGGATTGGAGCTTATAGTTAAGTGATTACATCATGTGCCCCGCGTACCTTAAATTATTCAGCAATCATAATTTAATCGAAAAACAGTTTCCATCATAACTTGTTGTAATAAAGAAATTTAGACAAAAGACAAATCCACCCGTCGAACGTATAAAAATGTTGTGGGTCTTTAGAAAATGTCTCATATCTGCAGCTTCCATTACACATGCCACAAATATTTTTTGTTGTTGCAACAGTGCTTTTGACAAATACATTACATACTCACAGAAAGCTGTGACTCTCCTTTCTGTAACTAGAACAACAGTAGGTGCTTTGAAAATTGTATTTTCCCTGAAATTGCATTCTGAGCAACGGTCATATGCTTGTGCTTCTCAGAATGCATCTCTCCCTCCTCCGTGCACACAGTGGGAGTGAGTGGCTCGCTCACACAGCAGCCAAAAGCGAAAAAAAGAGACGGGCAGATACTTTCATAGCAGGAATCAACATAATGCATAGGCTATTCATTTACATTTTAGTCATTTAGCAGACGCTCTTATCCAGAGCGACTTACAGTTAGTGAATACATATCTTTTTATACTGGCCCCCCGTGGGAATCGAACCCACAACCCTGGCGTTGCAAACGCCATGCTCTACCAACTGAGCTACATCCCTGCCGGCCATTCCCTCCCCTACCCTGGACGACGCTGGGCCAATTGTGCGCCGTCCATGAGTCTCCCGGTCGCGGCCGGCTGCGACAGAGCCTGGATTCGAACCAGGATCTCTAGTGGCACAGTTAGCACTGCGATGCAGTGCCTTAGACCACTGCGCCACTCAGGAGTAAATTCCTGTTGACCAAATAATGGTTTTACATTTAGAACAATCTACAGGAACGTTGTGTAGCAAAATTACTTACATAAGCAAAACGCTTCAGTAAGAGGAAGGCAATGTCTGTAATATTCGATGTATCATTCCAGCTCTAGGTTTACCTCACTTTCTGCCGACTTCTGTCCCTGTGCTTGTTCAGCCTCCTCTTCAAAGTTAGGGGGAACACTGTTGTTGACGTTGAATGTGACGGTCACTCTGCAAGGAAGGGATCAGACAATGTTCCTATAAAGAATATAGTTCAAATTACGTGAATCATGACTGGGTTCATTTTGTGCAGGTGTGCATTTATTGATAGGACATTAACTATATTCATAGTCAAATAAAATGTCTGCAGTAACTTATGCTATCAGTACCGGCCATGTACTCAGGATGGGGGAGGTAGGCCTATGTGTTGTAATATTGAGGTAGCGTTATTTTCTCGCCATGTTCTTTACTTTTCTCCAGAGATTGTCCTGATGAGTTTGGCTTCTGTGCCGTTCTGCTCTAGCTCCCACCCTCCAGACATCTTGGGAAGAGTCTTGCTTTTCTGGATCTTCTTTTCTTCTTTAATTTCATCAGACAGGAAATCTCCAAAGGCTTTGTCTCCTGAAACAAGAGCAGTTATAAAGATGACAGAACAGAGGAGTCGGTATTTGCTACACACGAAGTCCAATAAACTGTCCCAACTTGTTCAATTTCCAAGGTCACATGTGCATTGCATGACACACAGGTCCAGATGGAGATGCCATCAACGATAGCTAGCCAGCTAACACCACACTCAATAGTTACTGATGGTTTCATCATCAGCTTCGCATTTCGGCACTGCTCTAAAACATGCTGTCTTGCTTGATAAACCATGAGTTTAACTTTTGACTAGATACTATAGACATGATGGTTCCATACGTTCGGTGACACTCATTGGTGACGTCTCTTGACAATTTAGTCCCTCCAGTCAGATAGTTGCATGAGAACATACGTTACATCAGTTATGTACATGTTTCACAAGCTGGTCGCAGCTATTCCTCCATTGTTTTACACACAACTAGCTAGCTAGTTCAACAAGACCAAGCAAGTTGAGGGGTAATTTAGCTAGCTAACGTTATCTAACATAACTACTACTCACACTACAGTAACTAGTTAGCTACCCAATTTAACGATTATTACCTTCCGTATGTAGCGATTCACATCCACAGGATACAGCCCTCGGTCCTTTTGAACTGAAGAGTTTTGGTCTGTACCCCGATGCTGCACCATTATTGCTCATCATCCAGAGAGACCGGGTGAAAGGCCGGATTGTTCCCGAGTTTGGAGAGCATAACGCCGACCTCGTAAGAGGCTGGAGAACTCGAGCCGAGGACGTTGTAGACATTCGAACTGCGGTACTCACCGCTCGGGAAAGCGTCTTTAACATGATTATAGCCTGGTCAATTTGACTAGTAAATTTTAAAAAATACAAGGGTTTGATAAGCCCCAAGTTCCAGTTACCAGCTACTGACGTTACAGACAGATCACAGCCTGCCTGGAAACACACGTGTGGAAGGACACCTTGACCTCCTCAACCTATGAACCGGAAGTGATCACAAGGTCTAAACCAATGACTAGACCAGACACGTTTTGCGGTAAAATAAGTATTAATAGTCAATACGTACATGTAATGAAATATTTCTAATAAATCCAACAACTGTGTGTTATAACTCGCTGCAGAATGTAAACAAAGGGGTTCTTATTGGTGTCTACGGTGTAGAGCGCCCCCTTTAAATTAATAATGACAAGCACAAGACAACGCAAGATCATTGGTCATACTGTAAATTCACTTTGATGCTTCATTCTACACTTGAAAACCAGAAACATTATTGCAAATCAAACAAAACAATTGATGAGGAAAAGTTTTATTTATTTATTAGAAATACTAGTGGACATAACCAGCATATATAATATAAAGTTACCCTGTCATATCTGCCATCATAATCTTCTGATTTTCAACACACTCAGGTCAGGTTGTTTATCAACCAATAAAACACTGCCTCCCTGCAAATATTCTGCCAACAATGACGTTTCAATCAAACATATGACCATTGGTTATCCAGTCAACCTATCACACGCATTGAAACAACCATTATTTATTTTGGGACATTCTTTAAATCAGATTATCCATAAGAAATATTTAGGAATCACATCTTAAAATGCACTTTAAGATCTAAATTTTGCATTCATTTAGTCTACATTTTAGACAATGTTATTTCAGTTATTTATTTTTACAATAGAAAGATGGGTGAAGAATGCCATGTCGGCACAACAGACTGTTCAAATCCTGCCCCCACCGCCTCAATCCTCTGGTTGCTCTGGACAATACAAAAGGGAAGAGCGAATAGATACAATCCATTCCCATACCATCCAAGATATTTGCGAGTGTATCAAAGACCTGAGTAATCAAATCAATCCCTACTATATAATCTCCGTGCATAGCATCTGTAATATTCATATGTGTCACCATACTGAATTGTAATTGGATGCATCATACTGTGCAATGATTGGTTAAGACCACCCAGGTGGTGAGGTCATTCTAAAATGATCATGGCCAGAGATACATGGACATGCACGTTATAGCTAGTTAATAAAGAGCTACGTTTATAAATAAAAAAAAATATGTGGAACAATAAAGCGTTTCTTTTGAATATATGCTCTGTAGTTTGAACTCGAGGTAAGTAACCATTTAAACTGCACCAACTGCATCAACATAACAGACAAACAATGATTCAGCATATTGTTAAATAAAGAGCTACGTTTATAAATATCCTGTCGTCCTGCATTTTATTATTTTGTACAAAGCGTACAAAACAAGACATGGTGTCAGAGTAAAAGGACTAAAAGATGGATTTTGCTGGAGTTCCTTCACCTCGAATGGATTGGGGGTCTACAAATCTACCCGATGCATGGCGTAAGTTCAAACAGCATGTGGAGCTGATGTTCACGGGTCCTCTGAAGGAAAGAGGAGAAGAGGAAAAGTGCAGCTACCTGCTCCTCTGGATCGGTGAAAAAGGGAGAGACATTTACAACACATGGACACTTACCGAGGCTGAATCAAAGGTACTGAAAACATACTACGATCGTTTTGAAGCATATGTTTTGCCAAAGACCAATACAATTTTCGCTAGGTACAAATTCCATGAGAAAGTACAAGGCGCTAGTGAATCGTTTGAACAGTTTGTCACTGAGCTGCGTCTGCTTGTGAAAGACTGTGATTATGCAAACAAGGATGAGATGGTCAGGGACCGTATTGTATTTGGAATACAATCACCGCGAGTGAGAGAGAAACTTTTGAATGTTGGATCAGAGTTAACGCTGGACAAAGCTATCGACATAGCCAGATCTCACGAGCTAGCACAGGTTCAGATGAAAACCATTTCAGGCGGCAGCATGAGCGCATCACGTGAACAAGCAGTGCACGCAGTCAGGCAGACATCAAAGCACACCTCCAGTGCCCAGAGAGCATGTTTCAGAGCGGAGACAGACAGAACTCCAAAACAGAGCGACACAGACTCCAAACGCCCCAAAACATGTGGATATTGTGGATACAAAGTGCATGGCGAACAGGGGAATTGCCCAGCTAAAGGCAAACAGTGTACTAAATGTGGAAAATGGAATCACTTTGCAAAAGTGTGCAGAGTTTACCGTGGAAAAACAGTACATACAGTGAGTGAAGATGAAATGTCAATCAAAGAGTCAAATGCTGATGAACTGTTTATTGATTCAGTGACACAGAAAAGTCAGATATCAGAGACAGAGCAAGCCTTTGCTGACATTGAGATAGGAAGACAAGGCACAGAGCTAAAATTCAAACTAGACACTGGTGCACAAGTAAACATTATTCCTCTGAGTAAGTACAGAAGCTTGACATCTGAGTGTGAGCTACAGCCCACCACGCGCAGACTGACTGGTTATGGTGGTGAACAGCTCCCAGTAAAAGGCACATGCACTCTCAAATGCAAATACAAGGAAAGGGACATGATGTTGGACTTTTACGTTGTTGACACTCGAGCACCTGCAGTGCTAGGTCTTAAAGCATGTTTAGACATGGACCTTATCAAGCTAGTTTTATCAGTGACAGCACCAGTAGAGATAGAGAATGTCATGGAGGAGTTTGCTGATGTTTTTACAGGAATAGGACTATTCCCAGGAGAATGTACCATTCACCTTAACCCAGACGCAACCCCTGTGATCTACCCACCGAGAAAGATTCCACTTGCTCTCCGCGCCCGTCTGAAGAAAGAGTTGGAGAGCATGGAGCAATCTGACATCGTCACCAAGGTTACAGAACCGACGGATTGGGTCAACGCGTTAGTGGTGGTGGAGAAACCACAGACAGGCAAGCTCAGAGTATGTCTCGACCCAAGAGACTTGAACAAGGCTATCAAACGCCCCCATTACCCCTTACCGACGCTAGATGGCATCACACACAAGCTAGCGGGCGCACGCTACTTCAGTGTCATGGACGCCAGATCAGGCTACTGGGCTATCAAGCTCACAGAAGAGTCATCTAAGCTCACAACGTTCAACACACCGTTTGGACGCTACAGGTTCCGTCGCCTGCCTTTTGGGATTATCTCAGCCCAAGACGAGTTTCAGCGAAAGATCGACGAGGTGTACGAAGGCCTCGACGGAGTCGTGGCAATTGTGGACGACATCCTTGTCTATGGTCGAACCAAAGAGGAACACGACAGAAACCTCAGCGCGATGCTGCAAAGGTCCCGCGAGAGAGGAGTCCGGCTCAACCCCGAGAAGAGCACAGTCGGCGCTACAGAGGTCAGCTACTTCGGGCATCTTCTCACAGCGAATGGAATCAAGCCAGATCCGCAGAAGATCTCAGCCATAAAGGAAATGGAGCCACCAAAGAACCGCGCAGAGCTGGAAACAGTGCTTGGCATGGTCAACTACTTAGCCAAGTTCGCACCCAGCCTCTCCAATGCTAATGCACCCCTGCGTCAGCTGCTAAAGCAGTCCAGTGAGTTCCTCTGGGACAACCAACACGACATCGCTTTCCAGAAAGTGAAAGACTTGATCACGAGAGAACCAGGACCAATCCTTGCCTACTACGACCCCAACAAAGAGCTCAGACTCCAGGTGGACGCGTCAAAGTATGGACTAGGGGCAGTGCTACTGCAAGAAGGAAAACCCATCGGCTACGCTTCCAAATCTCTCACAGACTGTGAAATCAACTACGCTCAAATCGAAAAGGAGCTGTACGCCATTCTGTTCGGATGTAAGTGTTTCCATCAGTATGTCTATGGACGACAAGTCATTGTGGAATCAGACCACAAGCCCCTCGAGTCAATCATGAGGAAACCGTTAGCCGCAGCCCCGCCAAGGCTACAGAGAATGATCCTTCAACTACAAAAATACGACTTCACAATCACTCATGGACAAAGCAAAAGCAGACAAGAGAGACCCCTACCTCAGTCTCCTTGAATACCGCAACACTCCAGTTGACAACTTCAAATCACCAGCCCAGCTGTTGATGAGCCGCAGACTTCGCTCAATCCTCCCCAGCACCAACCAGCAGCTGCAACCTGAGGTCGTCAGCTACAAGGAAGTGCATGCAAAACGTGCACAGAGACAGCAACAGCAAAAGCGATACTACGACAGGTCAGCCAGACCACTGCCACCACTGAACGACGGAGAGTCAGTTAGAATCCAGGAGCATGGCTACTGGAAGCCAGCAGTCGTCATCCAACCAGCTGACACTGAACGTTCATATCACGTTCGCACCGCAGAAGGAGCGGTGTACCGCCGCAATCGTCGTCACCTACTGAACACAAAAGAACAACACACTGACGAGATGAACTGTTCCCCTGAAAGAGAACGGGATGGACTAAACACAGACACAACACAACATACACCATACTTACCTGCAACACCACAAGAACTGTTGACTGACACAGAAGCATGCTCAGCTTCATATCACACAAGGTCAGGAAGAGAGGTCAAGCCTAGAGCTGTCCTAGACCTGTGAAATGTCAAAGGGTGTAGGCGGATCGCTGCCCTAAAAGAGTTTCCAGACTGTAAACTTGTTATTGAAAGTTAACTTGAAATGCTTTGGTATTGTATTTGTTTGATATGTTGAGATGTCATTGCTACAGTGAAAAGCTGAGTTGCTGAGAAATATTTGTTCTAAAAATAACAATATGCTGAATCATTGTTTGTCTGTTATGTTGATGCAGTTGGTGCAGTTTAAATGGTTACTTACCTCGAGTTCAAACTACAGAGCATATATTCAAAAGAAACGCTTTATTGTTCCACATATTTTTTCTTTTTTTTAAAAGAAGGGGGATGTAATATTCATATGTGTCACCATACTGAATTGTAATTGGATGCATCATACTGTGCAATGATTGGTTAAGACCACCCAGGTGGTGAGGTCATTCTAAGATGATCATGGCCAGAGATACATGGACATGCACGTTATAGCTAGTTAATAAAGAGCTACGTTTATAAATATCCTGTCGTCCTGCATTTTATTATTTTGTACAAAGCGTACAAAACAAGACAGCATCATCATCAATGTACGAGTAAGCCTACCTGACATGGTTTAGCAGGAATTTGTGCAACAGTGCTCCACATTTAACAGGCTAACTGAAATGACCAACTTCACAATAAGCTTTGAAGCCCACTTAACCAGAGATCAATGCATCGGTCTTTGGAGCAACCAGCTACTTACTGTATGTTACTACAGCATGCATCAGCTAATAGTGATTGAATGTAGTTTGAAAAAGCAGGCATTTGTGAATGAAAGACATTCAATACACTCCTACACCACCTCAACTGACAGACACCATATCGTATTAACCCAGCCACACAAACACAACCACCACACTAGGACCGCCCACCCCCACTTATGTGGACAGACGTCTCGGTATCCTTTCAGGACAAATGACAGACTAGTCATTTTTAGTCAGCAATATAACTGATTTCCCTGACAGCTGATGTAAATGTGTGTGACAAAACTCAACGAAGAGAAAAAGTCAAGTTTCTCCTTTATGCAAACTTTGGCCAACAGCAACAGCTGCTTAACACGTCCAATTAAATACCCTGATATAATATCTATACATTTCAATATGTCAACAGAAAGTATGATGTACACTGAATGGCATTTATGTACCCTGTTTTTTTAAGCAAGTGACAAACAGCCAATAAATTAGACCAGGGGCCAGAATTTAAATATGAACAGCCAATTGAAGTCAGTTGTTTAATATATTTGTTTGAGGGAATAACCATGCCTTCCCACGTCTGTGTGTTCATCTATGTTGCTAAGAAACATGCACATATTTAGAATCAGTGTTTGAACTCAATCATGATGAAACCTCATTTCTGGTTGTGAAGGAAATATGTGGCAACAAGCAATAATTAGGCAACAGTTAGATGAGAAGAATGAAGAAAGAAAAGGTCAGTTTGTAACCATAGTTACAGGAACTTTAGTTTGTAACCACAGGTAAAGGAACTTTAGTTTGTAACCACGGGTACAGGAACTTTAGTTTGTAACCACAGGTACAGGAACTTTAGTTTGTAACCACGGGTACAGGAACTTTAGTTTGTAACCACGGGTACAGGAACTTTAGTTTGTAACCACGGGTACAGGAACTTTAGTTTGTAACCACGGGTACAGGAACTTTAGTTTGTAACCACGGGTACAGGAACTTTAGTTTGTAACCACGGGTACAGGAACTTTAGTTTGTAACCACGGGTACAGGAACTTTAGTTTGTAACCACGGGTACAGGAACTTTAGTTTGTAACCACGGGTACAGGAACTTTAGTTTGTAACCACGGGTACAGGAACTTTAGTTTGTAACCATAGGTACAGGAACTTTAGTTTGTAACCACAGGTACAGGAACTTTAGTTTGTAACCACAGGTACAGGAACTTTAGTTTGTAACCACGGGTACAGGAACTTTAGTTTGTAACCACGGGTACAGGAACTTTAGTTTGTAACCACAGGTACAGGAACTTTAGTTTGTAACCACGGGTACAGGAACTTTAGTTTGTAACCACGGGTACAGGAACTTTAGTTTGTAACCACAGGTACAGGAACTTTAGTTTGTAACCACGGGTACAGGAACTTTAGTTTGTAACCACGGGTACAGGAACTTTAGTTTGTAACCATAGGTACAGGAACTTTAGTTTGTAACCACAGGTACAGGAACTTTAGTTTGTAACCACAGGTACAGGAACTTTAGTTTGTAACCACAGGTACAGGAACTTTAGTTTGTAACCACGGGTACAGGAACTTTAGTTTGTAACCATAGGTACAGGAACTTTAGTTTGTAACCACAGGTACAGGAACTTTAGTTTGTAACCACGGGTACAGGAACATTAGTTTGTAACCACGGGTACAGGAACTTTAGTTTGTAACCACGGGTACAGGAACATTAGTTTGTAACCATAGGTACAGGAACTTTAGTTTGTAACCATAGGTACAGGAACTTTAGTTTGTAACCATAGGTACAGGAACTTTAGTTTGTAACCATAGGTACAGGAACTTTAGTTTGTAACCATAGGTACAGGAACTTTAGTTTGTAACCATAGGTACAGGAACTTTAGTTTGTAACCATAGGTACAGGAACTTTAGTTTGTAACCACAGTTACAGGAACTTTAGTTTGTAACCACGGGTACAGGAACTTTAGTTTGTAACCATAGGTACAGGAACTTTAGTTTGTAACCATAGGTACAGGAACTTTAGTTTGTAACCACAGTTACAGGAACTTTAGTTTGTAACCACGGGTACAGGAACTTTAGTTTGTAACCACGGGTACAGGAACTTTAGTTTGTAACCACGGGTACAGGAACTTTAGTTTGTAACCACGGGTACAGGAACTTTAGTTTGTAACCATAGGTACAGGAACTTTAGTTTGTAACCACGGGTACAGGAACTTTAGTTTGTAACCATAGGTACAGGAACTTTAGTTTGTAACCATAGGTACAGGAACTTTAGTTTGTAACCACGGGTACAGGAACTTTAGTTTGTAACCATAGGTACAGGAACTTTAGTTTGTAACCACGGGTACAGGAACTTTAGTTTGTAACCATAGGTACAGGAACTTTAGTTTGTAACCATAGGTACAGGAACTTTAGTTTGTAACCACAGGTACAGGAACTTTAGTTTGTAACCATAGGTACAGGAACTTTAGTTTGTAACCATAGGTACAGGAACTTTAGTTTGTAACCACGGGTACAGGAACTTTAGTTTGTAACCACGGGTACAGGAACTTTAGTTTGTAACCATAGGTACAGGAACTTTAGTTTGTAACCATAGGTACAGGAACTTTAGTTTGTAACCATAGGTACAGGAACTTTAGTTTGTAACCATAGGTACAGGAACTTTAGTTTGTAACCATAGGTACAGGAACTTTAGTTTGTAACCACAAGTACAGGAACTTTAGTTTGTAACCACAGTTACAGGAACTTTAGTTTGTAACCACAGTTACAGGAACTTTAGTTTGTAACCACAGGTACAGGAACTTTAGTTTGTAACCACAGTTACAGGAACGTTAGTTTGTAACCAATCTAGCTCTTCTATGGTTCAGCAGACGTCTGCTGTAATAAAACATGGCCTCTTGTCCATGAAGAGGTAGAAGAACCCAGGGAAGAACCCTCACCCAGACCTCCCTCTATTTGGCTGCGTTTAGACAGGCAGTCCAATTCTGATATTTTCCCCCCACTTTTTCAGAGCTGATCTGATTATTCAAAAGATCAATTAGCGGAAAGAAGTTTAGAATTGGGCTGCCTGTCTAAATGCACCCAAACTCTCTCAGACTTGTCCAAATGCTAAATGTTCTGTCTTGGACTGGCACACACACAAGCAGTGCTGAAGAGTCTTTCTACGCTTTGTTTAAACAAAAACGAGCGATTCAGCGAACAGGAAAGAGTGTAAAGATGATCTTCTTCCCATCATGCCTCCATCCAGTTGTATTGACACTGTGTGAGGGAGAGGGTGGGGGGTCAGGTGTGTCACTGGTCAGGGAGGTTTGGTTCTGCTGTAGTCTCGTCACCCCAGAGTCCTGTCCAATCAGAGGCTAGCTCTTGGTGGGGCGGAGCTTCCGGCGGAAGTACTCGGGCGCAGCCTCGACCAGCCAATCAGCATCCACCAGACACATGTCCCTCATCTAGCACTTAGAGGTGTGCAGGAGCTCATTGAAGACCACATAAGCAGGCTTGGCCTGGAAGAGGACAGAGGAAGGGAGGATGGCTACAGGCTGGTGGGTGTCCAGGGCAGTGTAGCTGCCATCCGGCTGCAGCTCTGCAGCGTTTACAAACAGACCGTGGGCCAGGCAGCGACGCACCCTCCCCGTGTCCGACCCACACGACTCTAGCTTCATGCTCAGCTGGTACACAGAGGGGAGAAGGAGATGTCATGTGTGAAAAGAGCTAAATCATATGGAAATACAATAGATTTGTTCAAGTGAAAGATATCCATGTCTGAGTTCATCAGCCGATTAGATAACCTAAGAGTTGAAACGTTTGGAAAAACCACAGTGTGCAGATTCTCTTCTTTTGTTGATGAACAGCCATGTTGAGAGAATTGGTTACTTGTGGTGTTAGGGACTTGTTGTCGTACCTTAAGGCAGATCTCTCGGAGCTGTGCACGGACCTCTCCAACCATGCTCATGTTCCTGCTGTTGACAAAGTTCTCCCGACACCACTCCTACAACACACACATCAAAGCCTGAACTGACTACACCATCTGGAAACCATAACACTTCATGAATAAACACTAGGGGCTGGTGATGAACTTCTGGACTAAAAAGAACGCTTGATGGAGAAGCATTTTAGTCTGGGGACCAGACCCTATATGTCCAGAGATACTGTACAGTGCAAACTGTATAAAGACTCGTACAGGCTTCTTCTTTCTAGGAGACCACTGACCTTGTTGGCGTTGACTTTCTTGAAGGCTCTGTAGATGTTGAGCAGGGTCAAGTGATCTCCCTCGCTGGTGGTGAACTTGTTGCGTGACGCGAGACACTCCCCTCGGCGTGCGGGCGGGTTGTAGAGCACCGTGTCCACCGACAGCAGAGACACGATGGTCAGCACCTCCTCAGAACACTGGAAGTCTGGCGACAGCAGGATGGTCTGTAGGGGAGAGAGAGAGGGAGAGAGACACAGAGAGAGAGGGAGAGAGAGAGAGAGAGAGAGAGAGAGAGAGAGACAGAGAGACAGAATGTGGTAATACAGTATTTATTGTCATGGCTCAGTACAAAGGGAAAGGAGGATACCTAGTCAGTTGCACAACTGAAGGCCCATTTCCTGTGTGTCTGTCTTAACTTGGCATAGCGTGGCTCCAGTGGGAAGCTGGCCATCTTCTTGCCCAGAGGAGTTAGGGTGACCTGCTCACCTTTCTTCCATACAGCCCCTAGCAGATCCAGCTGCTCCACTGCCGAACGCATTGCCTCTGAACAGTCACATGAACATTATGTTATTATAACACACTCTGAACAGTCACATCACACCCACAACATCACGTTATTACAACCAACTCTGACCAAACACATCGACAACACGACACAAACTACAACACTACAGTAGTATAACTAACTCCTATCTGAGCCTACATAGCAGTGGATTAATACCCGTTTTAATGGATTCTAACACTTCCGATGACTTGAACATCACAGAGAAGACACAGCAGGCCTGGGACTGCTGTAGGACACACTGCTTACCAGGAGAAGGCTTAGACGTGAAGTCAAAGTTCATCACGTCAGGAATCCCCAGAGCCAGAAGCTGTAGCATGATACTGGCCAGGTTACACCTGCAGAGAGAACACAGGAGCAGAACACTCAATCACAATGGCAGAGATGTATCAACTTACACTGCAGCAACAACTGGGTCATGTACATTAGAGCACAATGTAGCAAACCCTTTTGCAACAGAGAATAAAAACGAGCATTTCTTATTGGACATGCTAAGATGGTACTTCTCCGGTTCGCGTCTATTGAAAACAGCTCTGTTCTCTTCCAACAGGTCAACAGTGACAGTGCTCTATCCACCTGATCCAACTCCAGCCATGGTGATCCTACCTCTGTATCTCAGGCATGGGGATCTAACTGTGTGTGTGTCCCCTACCTCTGTATCTCAGGCACGGGGATCTAACTGTGTGTGTCCCCTACCGTTGTATCTCAGGCACGGTCATGGGGATGAGGTTGTCAAACTCATCCTCGGTGTAGAGACGGTAGACAGAGCCTGAGTCCTCTCTGCCAGCCCTGCCCCCTGCCCGCCCTCTGCCAGCCCTGCCTGCCCTCTGCCAGCCCTGGGCTTTAGATACCCGCTGCACTGCCAACACCTCCAGACCACTCTCTGAGGGGAAGAGACAAGCGAACATATAATGAGGACCACAATGGAAATAAGTCTGTTTTTATCTTCAATTCTTTTTTTATGTGTGTATTGTTGTTTTTTCAAAGTTGGAAAACATGAATTGTTAGATACAATTCATTCATTAAATTCACACCAGGGCCACATAACTGATTGACTGGCAAGTAGAGAAACAGATTGGGAAGGAGGTTAAAAAGCTGTGTACTGTCAGTCAGGAATCTCACCTGGGTTGAAGCGTTTTGCTTTTACCATGCCTGTATCAATCACGTATTTGATCCCTGAGATGGTGATCGATGTCTCTGCAATGTTAGTTGAGAGGATTACCTTCCTACAACCCTGGTAAAACAAAACAGAGGAGAATATATATATTAAGTTCAACTGTCCAGTATTTCCTGATTACTATCAAATATGACCTATAATGAATTACAATATGAGTGAAATAGTTTACCGTCCAGTTTTTTTAAAATTAAGTATATTAAAAAGCAGCTTTTCTGTGTTGGAATGGTGTGGGCGTACCCCAATAACAGAATGGTGTGGGCGTACCCCAATAACAGAATGGTGTGGGCGTACCCCAATAACAGAATGGTGTGGGCGTACCCCAATAACAGAATGGTGTGGGCGTACCCCAATAACAGAATGGTGTGGGCGTACCCCAATAACAGAATGGTGTGGGCGTACCCCAATAACAGAATGGTGTGGGCGTACCCCAATAACAGAATGGTGTGGGCGTACCCCAATAACAGAATGGTGTGGGCGTACCCCAATAACAGAATGGTGTGGGCGCGTACCCCAATAACAGAAAGGTGTGGACGTATACCAGTCATTAAAAAATATTCATTCATGCTCAGCCAATGAGCCAACATGACATCACGTTCTAGGAGGAAATAGCAAGCATTTTTGAAACAGTCTGTTTGAGATACAAGTTTAAGGTGGGGGTTTTTAAGTGTTTTTTCCCCCTCCAATTTATGCTTTGGCCACAAGTACAAGTATAGGATGAGTCAACAACATTATTTCGGGTAGGAGTTTGAACTTTTAAATTGTATCGTATTTTCCACCATAATTTGCAAATAAATTCATTAAAAATCCTACAATGTGAGTTTCTGGATTTTTCTTTCTCATTTTGTCTGTCATAGTTGACGTGTACCTATGATGAAAATTACAGGCCTCTCTCATCTTTTTAAGTGGGAGAACTTGCACAATTGGTGGCTGACTAAATACTTTTTTTCCCCACTGTAACTGGTGAAGGGAAACAATGGTGGGTGCAGCGTTAAGTCTGGTTTCACCAGGCTAGGTGTCTGGGCCTCAGAAATATATTTTATTATTACGTTTATTTGAACAGGGACAATGTACAACAAAAAACAGAAGAAGTGTCAGAAATGAGAAGTGATGCGCTGCAGAATTAGCTAACAGCTCATTTACATCTGCAGTCCCGGGCAGGTGGACATATACAGTACCAGTCAAAAGTTTGGACACACCTACTCATTCAAGTGTTTTTCTTTATTTTTTAAAACTATTTTCTACATTGTAGAATAATAGTGAAGACATCAAAACTATGAAATAACACATATGGAATCATGTAGTAACCAAAAAAAAGTGTTAAACAAATGAAAATATATTTCATATTTGAGATTCTTCAAATCGCCACCCTTTACCTTGATGACAGCTTTACACACCGGTAGTGAGTGAGTGTGTCATATATATACACACACACACACACACACACACACACACACACACACACACACACTACAGGTCAAATGTTTTAGAACACCTACTCATTCGAGGGTTTCTCTTTATTTGTACTATTTTCTACATTTCCAGACGTCGGTTCAATTACTTGAATTCCATTTAGTTAGTATTTTTGGTGTGTGAACCCAACACGCTATTTCTCTAGAGAGATATCAAATCATCCCCGAGTGGCGCAGCGGTCTAAGGCACTGTATCTCAGTGCTTGAGGCGTCACTACAGACCCCCTGGTTCGATTCCAGGCTGTATCACAACCGGCCGTGATTGGGAGTCCCATAGGGCGGCGCACAATTGGCACAGCGTCGTCCAGGTTTGACCGGTGTAGGCTGTCACTGTAAATAATAATTTGTTCTTAACTGACTTGCCTAGTTAAATAAAGGTAAAATAAAAATATATAAAGTCCTGAGAGAATGTAAGTCAAGACCTATATGGGATGCTGGGCTGAAGGGAGTTGTAGTTTTCATTGAGCAAATATTCAACCTAGCTTGGCGCACAATTAACTGCAATGACCATAATCCATTGGCCTGTTCTTTTCTGGCTCGGACAGAGATGGAAACACTTACGCTATACGTTCATTTACATGACATCCCGGCTAGTGGTAATACAACCAGCCAAAAGTTTTAGGAGAACACACACACCCATTCCAGCCTGTAGTTACGTTATTAAAGACCCTACCTGTTCTACAGGTTAGATACACATAGTGACAACATCACCGCGACTAGGTTAGATACACAAGAACATTATACTGCCAGTAATAAGGTTAAAAAATGAAAATCAATGCCTTCTAGTTGGTTGAGATTCTTCAAGACACCACTTACCTGCCTGACACTTAGTAGACACACACCGGCTGTAGTTGTGTCTAGATACACACAGACCACAACACACGCTCTACTAGTACACTACACACGCCTACTACGGTCAAGTTAGATACACACCTCACCTGCTCGTAGGTTGATACACAAGACAATTAACCTGTACTTGTTAATACCACAACCACATACAAGCCGTCGTTAGGTTAGATACACACAGACCAATTTACCGCCTGGTACTTTTAGGTTGATACCCAGACCCATACTTGCCTGGTAGTAGATACACACAGCCACCATGCACGCCGGCTAAGCTCTGTTAGATACACAGACAAATCACGCTAGTAGTTAGGTTAGTACACACAGACGCCGCCTGGTCGATTAGATATCACACAGACACATACGCCGCTGCTACGTTGGTAGATCACAAGCGCGCACATTGCACAGCGTCTGCACATTAGGTTAGAAACACACGCGCCTGCTAGTGTAGATACACAGACCAATACACATGTAGTTCGGTTAGATACACACAGTTACACATACACAGCCTGTACGTTAGGTTAATACACACCACACCGCCTGTACGAAGGTAGATACCACAGACCATACATGCATGCTACGTTGGTTAGATACACACACGCCGCGAGTTTAGTATACACATTGACCACATATCACCCCTGCTACGTTGGTTAGATACACACAGACCAATCACCGCCTGTCTTCATTAGGTTGACAGAATGACCACATTTACGCCTGCTACGTTAGGTAGATACACAGACCACATACACGCCTGCTACGTTAGGTTAGATACACACAGACCACATACACCGCCTGCTACGTTAGGTTAGATACACACAGACCACATACACCGCCTGGTACGTTAGGTTAGATACACACAGACCACATACGCCGCCTGCTACGTTAGGTTAGATACACACAGACCACACACGCCGCCTGCTACGTTAGGTTAGATACACACAACCAATACACGCCTGACTACGTAGTAAACACCACGCCTGCTACGTTAGGTTAGATACACAGACCACAACACCGCCTGCTACGTTAGGTTAGATACACACAGACCACATACACCGCCTGCTACGTTAGGTTAGATACACAAGACACATACCCGCCTGTACGTTAGGTTAGATACACACAGACCAATAGCCGCTACGTGGTACGGTTAGATACACACAGACCACATACACCGCCTGCTACGTTAGGTTAGATACACACAGACCACAACACGCCGCCTGCTACTTAGGTTAGATACACACAGACCACATACACCGCCATGCTACGTTAGGTTAGATACACACAGACCAATACCGCCTGCTACGTTAGGTTAGATACACACAGACCACATACAACCGCCTGGTACGTTAGGTTAGATACACACAGACATACGCCGCCTGCTACGTTAGGTTAGATACACACAGACCACAACGCCGCCTGCTACGTTAGGTTAGATCACACAGACCACATACAACGCCTGGGTACGTTAGGTTAGATACACACAGACCACATACACCGCCTGCTACGTTAGGTTAGATACACACAGACCACACACGCCGCCTGCTACGTTAGGTTAGATACACACAGACCACATACACCGCCTGCTACGTTAGGTTAGATACACACACCAACACGCCGCCTGCTACGTTAGGTTAGATACACACAGACCACATACACCGCCTGCTACGTTAGGTTAGATACACACACGCCGCCTGCTACGTTAGGTTAGATACACACAGACCACATACACCGCCTGCTACGTTAGGTTAGATACACACAGACCACAACACGCCTGCTACGTTAGGTTAGATACAACGACACATACACGCCTGCTACTTAGGTTAGATACACCACCCGCCTGCTACGTTAGGTTAGATACACACAGACCACATACACCGCCTGCTACGTTAGGTTAGATACACACACGCCCCGCCTGCTACGTTAGGTTAGATACACACAGACCACATACACCGCCTGCTACGTTAGGTTAGATACACACAGACCACATACACCGCCTGCTACGTTAGGTTAGATACACACAGACCACATACACCGCCTGGTACGTTAGGTTAGATACACACAGACCACATACACCGCCTGCTACGTTAGGTTAGATACACACAGCCGCCTGCTACGTTAGGTTAGATACACACAGACCACATACACGCCTGCTACGTTAGGTTAGATACACACAGACCACATACCCGCCTGCTACGTTAGGTTAGATACACACAGACCACATACACCGCCTGCTACGTTAGGTTAGATACACACACGCCGCCTGCTACGTTAGGTTAGATACACACAGACCACATACACCGCCTGCTACGTTAGGTTAGATACACACACGCCGCCTGCTACGTTAGGTTAGATACACACAGACCACATACACCTTACGTTAGGTTAGATACACACGCCGCTTGCTACGTTAGGTTAGATACACACACGCCGCCTGCTACGTTAGGTTAGATACACACAGACCACATACACCGCCTGCTACGTTAGGTTAGATACACACAGACACATCACGCCTGCTACGTTAGGTTAGATACACACAGACCACACACGCCTGCTACGTTAGGTTAGATACACACAGACCACATACACCGCCTGGTACGTTAGGTTAGATACACACAGACCACATACACCGCCTGCTACGTTAGGTTAGATACACACAGACCACATACACCGCCTGCTACGTTAGGTTAGATACACACAGACCACATACACCGCCTGCTACGTTAGGTTAGATACACACAGACCACACACGCCGCCTGCTACGTTAGGTTAGATACATACAGACCACATACACCGCCTGCTACATTAGGTTAGATACACAACACACGCCGCCTGCTACGTTAGGTTAGATACACACAGACCACATACACCGCCTGCTACGTTAGGTTAGATACACACACGCCGCCTGCTACGTTAGGTTAGATACACACAGACCACATACACCGCCTGCTACGTTGGGTTAGATACACACAGACCACATACAACGCCTGGTACATTAGGTTAGATACACACAGACCACATACACCGCCTGGTACGTTAGGTTAGATACACACAGACCACATACGCCGCCTGGTACTTAGGTTAGATACACACAGACCACATACGCCGCCTGCTACGTTAGGTTAGATACACACAGACCACACACACCGCCTGTACGTTAGGTTAGATACATACAGACCACATACACCGCCTGCTACGTTAGGTTATAGAACACACACGCGCCTGCTACGTTAGGTTAGATACACACAGACCACATACACCGCCTGCACGTTAGGTTAGATACAACACGCCTGCTCTACGTTAGGTTAGATACACACAGACCACATACACTGCCTGCTACGTTAGGTTAGATACACACACGCCGCCTGCTACGTTAGGTTAGATACACACAGACCACACACGCCGCCTGCTACGTTAGGTTAGATACACACAGACCACAACACCCGCCTGCTACGTTAGGTTAGATACACACAGACCACACACCCGCCTGCTACGTTAGGTTAGATACACACAGACCACATACCCGCTGCTACGTTAGGTTAGATACACACAGACCACATACACCGCCTGCTACGTTAGGTTAGATACACACAGACCACATACACCGCCTGCTACGTTAGGTTAGATACACACAGACCACATACACCGCCTGCTACGTTAGGTTAGATACACACAGACCACATACACCGCCTGCTACGTTAGGTTAGATACCACACAGGACCACACATAAACCGCCTGCTACTTAGGTTAGATAACACACAGACCACAATACACCGCCTGGTACGTTAGGTTAGATAACACAGACCACATACACCGCCTGCCTACGTATAGGATTAGATACACACAGACCACAGACAAACCGCCTGCTACTTAGGGTTAAGATACACACAGACCGACAATACACGCCTGGTACGTAGGTTATGATCACACACAGACCACATACACCGCGGCCATGCTACGTTAGGTATAGATACACAACAGACCACATACACCGCCTGCTACGTTAGGTTAGATACACACAGACCCACAAACAACCCGTTAGGTTAATACACACAGACCACATACGCCGCCTGCTACGTTAGGTTAGATACACACAGACCACACACGCCGCATGAGAGAGGAATGTACACAACACAACAATGAGAGAGAGGGGTAGAGACAGTTGGTGAAAGTATGCCTCATCTACTTAGAAGAACTAGTCCAATGATTGTCAGACAGCTCTGCAGCATACTTAGGAAGGTTAGCCTAGCTGAATAGGATGACTAAAGACAGTACAGTTTGGGGAGAACAGAGATAACAGAGAGGCTGCTACTGCCAGAGATGAGATGAGGACTTTAAGAAATGAAATGATAAAGTCATAAAATAAGTAATAGAACACAACTGAAATATTTTATTATTTCATAGTAATGTCCTATTTTTCTATGTGGACCTGACAGAGACAATGGAATATTTTCAATGTTTTGTCAATTGAATGTTCACTATTTTTGCCTTTGGAATTTCCATTAAAAAGCTCTAATCATTTTAATATCATTATTTCATAATGCATTGAATGTAAAAATGATTATATCGAAACCGAAATTAAAAACCGTGATTATTTTTTAAATAATCGAACCGATTTGAAAAATCTCTAATTGCTCAGCACTAGCAGCCAGGCCAGTCACATCTACATACCTGATGGATCTGGAAGACTGAGACCAGTGCAGCCTGCAGGTAGTCAGACTGGGGCTGCTTGGTGTAGTAGATCTGGATGGGGTGCTGTCTGACCTCCAGGTACAGCACAGGAGACTTGTTGAAGTACTGAGAGAACAGGTCCACGTCCATGGTGGCTGACATCACGATTACCTAGAATGGTACATTGAAGAGGCAATATATCCGATTTATTTATAAAGCCCTTTTTTTTTTTTTTATCTTTTTTTACATCAGCAGTGCTTTAGAGTAAGAACAAGCCCACACGCCACCAGTCTTGAAGTAGTCTTGGGAGAATATTGTTGACATTGTACATTGGGTGCTTTGACAATGGAACACCAGCCCAGGGGCACACACACACACACACACACACACACACACACACACACACACACCAACTAGCATATTGCAACATTATGTAGCCTACAGTTAGTGACCTTAGCCTGGAATTCAAAGTGATATGTTCTGTTTCACCATTGGTTTCAGTTCGTATCACTTTGGATTCCAGGCTACTGAGTCTAGTAGTGACTTACCTTGAGGGGGATCTTGTTCTGTTCTCTGCGTTTGCGCTGGGCAGCCTTCACCACTCCAAAAAGCACGTCAGTGTGCACCGTGCGCCTCATCCAGCACCACCACGGTGTAGCGCAGCAGTAAGGGGTCTCCTATGGCCTCCCGCAGGAGCATACCGTCCGTCATGAACTTCAGCTTCGTCTCTGAGGAGGTGACGTCCTCGAATCGTACGGTGTAGCCAACCTGAAAAAGCATGATTGGATTTCCTGATTTGATTGTTTGGTAACAGTCCACATACAGCCTAGTTTTAGAGTTTACAAGACTGAAGTTAGTAGAAGACTTCTGAAGTACAAGACAAGGATTGTCGTTAGGTACATGCAGCCACTGATTACGATCAAGGTGACGACCACCACATTGCTATTGGAGGAATTGCAAAAACGCATGTGTGTTTTACTACAGAGTTTGACCACCACAAATTGTACAATTTTTTTTTTTTTTTTTTTACGCACCAGCTTCCCCAGCTGAGTTCTCTTCTCCTCTGCCACCCTTTTTGCCAGGGAGACAGCTGCCACTCGGCGTGGCTGTGTCACAGCGATGATGCCCTGTCGAGCGATGCCAGCTTCATACAGGTACTGGGGTATCTGGGTGGGCTTCCCAGAACCTGTCTCACCTGAGGGACAGGGCATCGGAAGACACAATGGTTTGTCAGCCAACGTTATAATAGCTGAAGGCTAAATCTACAGTATAAATATGCCATTTAGTGATAGTGTAGTCATGTGTGCATACATTTTTACGTATGGGTGGTCCCGGGGATCTAACCCACTACCCTGGCGTTACAAGCGCCATGCTCTACCAATTGAGCTACAGAGGACCACATGAACAATCTGATGAACCACAACGTCAACGTTGTTACTCAGTTGAACAGGGGTGTATTCACTAGGAACAAAAACGGGGAGTGACCTCTGAATTTGTCCAATAAAAAACTATTGTTTTCATTGCAAAACGTTTGACTAATGATTACACCTCAGGTGAGTCCCGGGGTATGTTCACTAGGAACCATACAGAAGGAAACGGAGGTTAACAAATCAAAATGTTTTATTTTCTTCGGTTGTTCGGGCACACAAAACAAAGTTCGGAGCCGAAGTGAAATGGTTACGGGCCCTTCCCAACAATGCAGAGAAAAATTTAGAAAGAATAGAACAAAAATAAACACAATAAATAAGTAATGATTAATTACCCTATATACACAGGGTAAGTACCGAGTCGATATTCAAGGGTACAAGGTAATTGAGGTAGATACAGTTGAAGTCGGAAGATTACATACACCTTAACCAAATATATTTAAACTCAGTTTTTCACAATTCCTGACATTCAATCCTAGTAAAAATTCCCTGTCTTAGGTCAGTTAGGATCACCACTTTATTTTAAGAATGTGAAATGTCAGAATAATAGTAGAGAGAATGATTTATTTCAACTTTTATTTCTTTCATCACATTCCCAGTGGATCAGAAGTTTACATGCACTCAATTAGTATTTGATAGCATTGCCTTTAAATTGTTTAACTTGGGTAAAACGATTCGGGTCGCCTTCCACAAGCTTCCCACAATAAGTTGGGTGAATTTTGGCCCATTCCTCCTGACAGAGCTGGTGTAACTGAGTCAGATTTGTAGGCCTTGCTCGTACACACTTTTTCAGTTCTTTCCACAAATGTTATATAGAATTGAGGTCAGGGCTTTGTGATGGCCACTCCAATACCTTGACTTTGTTGTCCTTAAGCCATTTTGCCACAGCTTTGGAAGTATGCTTGGGGTCATTGTCCATGTGGAAGACCCATTTGCGACCAAGCTTTAACTTCCTGACTGATGTCTTGAGATGTTGCTTCAATATATCCACATAATTTTCCTTCCTCATGATGCCATCTATTTTGTGAAGTGCACCAGTCCCTCCTGCAGCAAAGCACCCCCACATCATGATGCTGCCACCCCCGTGCTTCACGGTTGAGATGGTGTTCGTCGGCTTGCAAGCCACCCCCTTTTTCCTCCAAACATAACAATGGTCATTATGGCCAAACAGTTCTATTTTCGGTTCATCAGACCAGAGGACATTTCTCCAAAAAGTACGATCTTTGTCCCCATGTGCAGTTGCAAACCGTAGTCTGTCTTTTTTATGGCGGTTTTGGAGCAGTGGCTTCTTCCTTGCTGAGCGGCCTTTCAGGTTATGTTGATATAGGACTCGTTTTACTGTGGATATAGATACTTTTGTACCTGTTTCCTCCAGCATCTTCACAAGGTCCTTTGCTGTTGTTCTGGGATTGATTTGCACTTTTCGCACCAAAGTACGTTAATCTCTAGGAGACAGAACGCGTCTCCTTCCTGAGCGCTATGACGGCTGTGTGGTCCCATGGTGTTTATACTTGCGTACTATTGTTTGTACAGATGAACGTGGGACCTTCAGGCGTTTGGAAATTGTTCCCAAGGATGAACCAGACTTGTGGAGGTCTACAATTCTTTTTTCTGAGGTCTTGGCTGATTTCTTTTGATTTTCCCATGATGTCAAGCAAAGAGGCACTGAGTTTGAAGGTAGGCCTTGAAATACATCCACAGGTACACCTTCAATTGACTCAAATGATGTTAATTAGCCTATCAGAAGCTTCTAAAGCCATGATATACTGAATGCCATGTCATGCTGAATTGACCAAATACTTATTTTCCACCATAATTTGCAAATAAATTCATTAAAAATCCTACAATGTGATTTTCTGGATTTTTTTTCCTCAATTTGTCTGTCATAGTTGACGTGTACCTATGATGAAAATTACAGGCCTCTCTCATCTTTTTAAGTTGGAGAACTTGCACAATTGGTGGCTGACTAAATACTTTTTTCCCCACTGTACATGTTTAGCAGATGTTGTAGCGGGTGTAGCGAAATGCTTGTGCTTCTAGCTCCGACAGTGCAGTAATATCTAACAATTTCACAACATATACCCAGTTACACACAAATCTAAGTAAGGAATGGAATTTAAGAATATATACATATGGACAAGCAATGACAGAGTGGCATGGACTAAGATACAGTAGAATTCTATAGAACACAGTATATACATATGAGATGAATGTATGCACTCACTAACTGTAAGTCGCTCTGGATAAGAGCGTCTGCTAAATGACAAAAAAAAAAAAAAGAGTAATGCAAGATATGTAAACATTATTAAAATGACTAGTGTTCCATTTCTTAAAAGTGGCCAGTGATTTCAATAGGCAGCAGCAGCCTCTAATGTGCTATTGATGGCTATTTAACAGTCTGATGGCCTTGAGATAGAAGCTGTTTTTCCATTCTCTCGGTCCCAGCTTTGATACACCTGTACTGACCTCGCCTTCTGGATGATAGCGGGGTGAACAGGCAGTGGCTCGGGTGCTTGATGTCCTGTGACGTCGGGTGCTGTAGGTGTCCTGGAGGGCGGGTAGTTTGCCCCCGGTAATGTGTTCTGCAGACCGCACCACCCTCTGGATAGCCCTGCGATTGCGGGCAGTGCAGTTGCCGTACCAGGCGGCGATACAGCCCGACAGGATGCTCTCAATTGTGCATCTGTAAAAGTTTGAGGGTTTTAGGTGCCAAGCCAAATTTCTTCAGCCTCCTGAGGTTGAAGAGGCTCTGTTGCGCCTTCTTCACCACACTGTCTGCGTGGGTGGACCATTTTAAGTTTGTTAGTGATGTGTACGCCAAGGAACTAGAAGCTTTCCACCTTCTCCACTGCAGTCCCGTCGATGTGGATAGGGGTGTGCACCCTCTGCTGTTTCCTGAAGTCCACTATCATCTCATTTGCTTTGTTGATGTTGAGTGAGAGGTTGTTTGCAGTAAACCGGTGTTGCCCATCTCTGGTCCTCCAGGACCCTCAACAGGACACATTTTTATTGTAACCCTGGAAAGCACACCTGATTCAACTTGTCAACTAATCCCTCAATGAGTTGAATGAGACGCGTTTGCTTAACAAGGCTACAGGGAAAATGTGAACTGAATGGAAACACTGCAGTAAACCCTCAAGAGTAGGGCTGTTCAGTTCCGGTCCTGGACAGCCGAAACACTTCTGTTTTTTTATTTCTACCTGGTAGTTAATTGCACTCACCTGGTGTCCCAGGTCTGAATTAGTCCCTTATTAGAAGAAGAGGATGAAGACCAGAAGTGTTTCGGCCCTCCAGGACCGACATCGAACAGCCCTGCTATAGAGTATATGTACAGGGGTATTATAATAATAATAATAATAAGCCATTTAGCAGACGCTTTTATCCAAAGCGACTTACAGTCATGCGTGCATACATTTTTTGTGTATGGGTGGTCCCGGGGATCGAACCCACTACCTTGGCGTTACAAGCGCCGTGCTCTACCAGCTGAGCTACAGAGGACCACGGTATTCAGCTACAGTATTCAACTCTTACCCTACGAGGTCTGGAGCCCGCTGGTTTTCTGTTCTAATTAATTGTCCCAGAGCGTCCTTCATATGTCAAATGTTGTCAAAAACGTGCTTGAATTCACAGGCTTTGGGCGGGGTACTTACTGTGAACCCATACAATTACATTGGTCTGTTAAATCTGCAGTCTTTTCTTGTGTAACGGAATCTCTTAATGAGTTTTGGTAGCACCAGTTGTATATCATAATTTAATAAATTAATCAAACGGTGCATTGTTCATCAATTTGTTTTAAATATGTAAAGCCCTTTTTTCTTCAGCAGTTGTGAAAGTTAATTACATTGCATTTACAGTAACCTGGCTTACAGTGCATTGACACATATTGTTGTGTTACAGCCAGAATTTTAAATGGATTCAATTGAGATTTTGTGTCACTGGCCTACCTACACACAATAACCCATAATGTCAAAGTGGAATTATATTTTTTGAAATGTTAGCGAATTCATTAAAAATGAAAAGCTGAAATGGTTAGAGTCAATAAGTATTCAATCCCTTTGTTATTGCAAGCCTAAATAAGTTCAGGAGTAGAAATTTGCTTAACAAGTCACATAATAAGTTGCATGGACTCTGTGTGCAATAATAGTGTTTAACATGATTTTTGAATGACTACCTCATCTCTGTACCCCACACATACAATTATCTGTAAAGTCGACCGGTGAATTTCAAACACAGATTCAACCCCAAAGGCCAGGGAAGTTTTCCAAGGCCTCCAATGCAAAGAAAGTCACCTATTAGTAGAATAATTATATATTAACTTGCTCACCCAAACGTAGACATACATCATGGGTGAGAAATAATTAATATAATATTGTACAAAGCCAATGTAGGGTTTCCATTAAGGAACGTCAATTACTACATTGGATATTAATACTATGGAGATAAATTCAATATATGCTGGTCAACTACGGCATGTGTTTGGTGTTATTTGTAGCCTACTTAGAAAGTACAGTTACCTATATCTGCTGTATTCTAAACAATGACAGATAGGGGGTTTCATAAGAGGTGGCTATAATTTTAGTTGATAACAGAGGTAATTAGATTTGAGAAAGGTTGAATTGCATTGTTTAAGCAAGAATGGCATTAAATTCATGCTTCCTAGTTATGTGTATGCAAATATGTTATTCGTTTTTGGTGGTGTGTGGATAGAATTTACTAATGCCAGGATTTAGTAAACGAAGCAGAGAGATGTAGTGAGAGCAGTGGAAGGGATACCCCACCCTAAG